GATGAAGAGGGACTCGCTGGCTGCAGCCCCGGCCTGACCACTTGGGGTGTACTTTCCTTGGCAGGCGAGGCTGTTGGCCTAAGAGGAGAGAGGAGCCAGAGTGAGGTCTCATCAGAATTCCATCCACCCCAACACCCTGCCCACCTCCATCCAGTCCCATCCGTACCAGGGCTCGCTTGACATACTCCTCCTGGGCAACCTTCAGGTTCTCCTTCTTTCCACCCCAGGCCTTCAGGGCAGAAGCCTGCAGGGCTCGGCCATAAGAGAAGGTCAGGGCCCACGGCTTCAGCAGGGGGCACTTGTTGATGGCGTTGAGGTTGATGGATGCCTCCTCCTCACTCTGGCCTCCAGATAGGAAGGTGATCCCTGCAGAACAAGGGGTAAAGTGGGGTAAGCGGTTGTAGGCAAAGACCTGGGGTTTGGTAGCAGCCTCTAGAAACTGACGTGAAAATCTGACCAAATGGGCTTAAAGACTGTGGGTGCAGTTCATCTACCTCCGAGAGGTCAAGAGGAGGATGTGGGTCTCACCAGTGACAGCGGGGGGCACTGTGCGGCGCAGGGCTGTGACAGTTGCCATGGCGATCTCCTCATGAGAATATTTCTGGGTGCAGGCGTGGCCTGGGGTTACCATGTTGGGCTTCAGCAAAGTGCCTTCCAGGTAGATGTGGTGGTCACTCAGAGCCTTGTAGACGGCAGCCAGCACCTATAGCAGAGCAGGGCCAAGGTGGATCGGGGTGGAGTTGGGGGCGGGGTAGGGACAGGGGTCAGCCCCAAGGCCCCCGGCCCAGCTGCCCAGCCACCACACTGCCCAGGCAGGCAGGCACCTTACCTTCTCGGTTACATACTGACAGCGCTTCAAGTCGTGGTCCCCATCAGGGAGGATCTCAGGCTCCACGATGGGCACGATGCCATGCTGTGGAGTGAGGGACAGGGTAGCCATGAGGCCTCCTAACCTGGAGCCCACCCACAGCTCTCCACAGTCACCAGCAATCTTCTGTCCACAACGACAGAGACTCATGGTTTCACAGCCCTCAGTGGACTGCAGGAGACAGGCATGTCCTCCAAGCCACCCACACAATCCCTCTTCTGCCCCTCTGTTCACAGAGCCCTCGAGTATCCTCCACCGGCCCAAGCCGGAAGCTTGGTGAGGATCCAGAACAGATGCCTTTGGGGGGGAAGGGGGCATGTATCCTGACAGATGGGTGGCAGGCTAGCTGACACTCTGGAACAAAAAGGAGGTGGGAGGTGGCCTGTTGGGGACCCGCCGGCCCACCTGCTGGCAGATGCTGGCGTAACGGGCCAGAACATTGGCATTTTCCATGATGGCAAGGGCTGAGGGGGTGTGTTCCCCAATCTTTAGCACACAGCGCCACTTGGCGAAGTCAGCTCCATCCTTCTTGTATTGGGCACAGCGCTCAGACAGCCCATCCAGCCCTGGATGGGGAGCAGAAGAGTCAGAGCATGGTGGAGGATGGGATGGGTGCCACCCGGAGGGGTAGGTCTGGAGGGCAGGGAGCAGAGCAGTTCTCACCTTGGGTGGTAGTCTCGCCATTTGTTCCTGCCAGAGGTACCACGCCCTTGTCCACCTGTTGGGGGGGGGGGTGGGCAACAACGTAAGGCGGGGGAAGGGACCTCTAGTACTCCACTCTGCCCTCAACTTTCCTTAATCTCTCAAGCGGTATCTCGCTTTGCAAACGTTTTCACGTAGTTACAATACTTGATCCTAGGAGGGAAAATACATGGGGATGTGATCGGACAGAGCCTGGGCTCCTAGCACTTACTAACTCGGTGAGCCGCACACATCACTGCCTTGGGCTTCTGGTTTTTTTCTCTGTACGATGAAGGGAATACCGTGCTCTGAGAATTACAAGGATTAAAAATGCCAAGCAGGGGCACCTGGCTGGCTCAGTCAGTGGAGCCTGTGACTCTTGATCTCAGGGTTGGTTGTGAGTTCAAGCCCCAGGTTGGGTGTAGGGATTACTCAAAAATAGAATATTAAAAACAGGCCAAGCAGGTCCCCTAAGTTTGTAGCTTTTCTCACATATGCTTTGGAGGTGATCTGGGGCAGACCCCACCCAACATCCATCCCCAGCCTACTACTCTGGCCTTCTCTCCCGGAGCGCTCTCTCACCTCTCACATCCTGAGACCCCGCCCCCTCACCTTGATGCCCACAACACCGCCCTTGGATTTGATCACTTGGGGGAAGGGACGCCCATCATCTGTCTTCTGGTAGAGAGTCTCGTGGAAGAGGATGACGCCCCCGATGCAGGGGTTCACGCGGTCGTCGGCGGTCAGCAGCAGCTGTCGGTAGAAGCGCCGGTTCTCCTCTGTGTTCTCAGTGCCGATGGACTGCAGCCGCTTGGCGATGCTCCCTGGGAGGGGGCAGCATACAGAAATAAGGGGGTCAGCCGGTCACCCTTGACCCTAGGCTCTCCTCCTACCGCGTCCTGCCCGTACCAGTGGACTCATCTGCAGCCAGGATGCCCTTGCCCGGAGCCACGATGCGGTGAGCGATGTCAGAAAGCTCCTTCTTCTGCTCCGGGGTCAGCGCTGGGTATTGGTGGGGCATGGTGCCAGTCAGTTCCTGGGCAAAGGAGGCCGATAGGGGAGGACTGGTTAGCGGGCACTCACTGTGGTCTTCCAACCAGCAGGGCCCCTTGCCTGGAGGTTGGGATAAAGGCTCCCTACCTCCCCTGCTCCATACAGGGAGGTATCTGACCACTTCCTGTCCCCAGCCCTCCCCTACACCCAACTTCCCTATACTAGGCCTGCCTCCTGTACCTTTCCTAACACTGTCTGTTGCTGGGTGTTTCCCAGCTGTGGGTGGGGTTGCGTACTGGCATCTGGGGCAATGCAATAGGCCAGAGCCATGGACAGACGGGTCATGTAGAAGCCGGACCCTTCTGGCTTGCGCTCTGCCATGGGGTCACCTTGCCTAGAAGCAGAACCGAACTGGAGTAATTTAGAATTTAGAGGGGGTACATAGGCAGAGGGCCCAACCCAAGGACCCAGGGAAGGGAAAGTTCTGTGTTTCAAGTCCCACAGCACAAGGGCCAGAGCTGAGATTAGAACCCAGATCTTCTGACTGCCAGGGCCTTCCAATCCACCCAAGATCCCAGGGCTGGCCTAGGCTCCAAAGCCTCAAGGACATCCCAAGGTCAAGCTTCTCCACCAGGGTTGGGGGAGGGCGTTCGGAAAAGGGTGTTAGAAGAAAGGGCAGGAGGGTAATCAGAAGCCCAAGAAAGGGCAGCAGAGGAAGTCGAGGCCGGGGTGGCGGAAAGGGGTAAGGTATGCCGATCTCACTGCTCATACAGGGTGAGAGAATTGTAGAGAGGCAAGCGCCCCACCCCTTCCCCTGAAAGTGCTCCTGTCTGCTCGCACGGCTGCAGCTGTTCCAGGCTCACCATCAAGGTCACCCAATAAGGAAAGACACAGAAAGTGTTAAGGGCCATCAGGCGCCTCCAAGGGGTTTCCCCTCCTCGCCGGGGGTGCCCACCTCCCAGGGCAGGGCCCAACCACGCTTTCGGGAACCCTGAGTCAGTTTTATGAGCTGGCCCCCATCCCTTGCTGCCTCTTAGGATCCCCGCAGAGGCAAGGGGGCCGTAACGCTTTGCACCTGGGGTCCCGGCAAGTAAAGGAGAGAGAGAATGGCCCTTCATCTCGTCCTGCTTCCTCCCTCGCCATGACGCAGCGCGCGGAGCCGCTGCATTGCGCAGCAAACCGAGAGAGCTCAAGCTGGAGAGGGTTGCGGAATCGGGCTGAGAGCTTATGTGTGCGTGGTAGTGGGGCGCGAGAGATGCTGGGACCGGGGTTGGGGGAGGGGGGGCCGACGGCCCCCAGGATCCTTCTCCACGGTCCCTGACCTTCGCGCATGGCGAGGGGCGCTCACCTGGCACGGGAGGGGGCGGGTTTGCGGGGTGCGGCGGCGGAGGCGGCGGGCCGACGAGCAGACTGAACGAGCGAACGCGGCAGTCGTTACCAGGACCCTGGTTCTGCGGCGCGTTCCAGGAGGAACGCAGCCTATTCAGCTCCCGAGGGGGCGGCACAGGGGGCGGGCAGGAGGGAGGTGGCGCCGGGCTTTATAAGGGCACGGCGCCAGCCTCCGCCGGGTTTTTTTCCCTTGAAGGGGGCGGGAGGCGCCCTGGCGTCCAATTGCAGGCGAGGATCGGTGGAGAGGCCGCCCCCGAAAGGCGAAGCCCGGAGGCGGCGCTTGGGCGGGGACAGCGCGGCGAGAACACGATCCCTCCCCCGGCCCCCTAGGACGTGACTCGGGCCACATCCTGCGGGTCGCCGGGGCCCTCCCCTCCCTCTTCCTCTCCCCCCCCCAGTTGGCGCGTTCTGGGGCGCCGTGACTCAGCCGACTGGGGCACCGGAGGAGATGGGGAGGGGGGAAGGGGGTGCAAGAGCCTGAAAAGATGGAGGCTCAGCCTCCCCGCCCAGCCCCCGCCGGGCGGCCCGGGGCAGCCCCAGTTTCCGGCCGGCGCTGATGGCCGCGTGTGTCACGCTGTGGCACACCCGGAGGTCGGGCGTCGGCCGGCCTCGCCCGCAGGCTCTCCTTGCGGGCTCAGGGGCGCGGGGCCACCCCTCCCTGGGTCATCAGTCCGCGCGGAAGAGCGGCTGCACCGGGAGGAGCCCGAGAGGGCGGCGGGGCAGCGGTTCCGGGAGGCCCGCCCGCGCGGGTGTCCGCGCCCCGGCCGCGCGGGTCGGGCTCACGGGCTCTGGGCCCAGCGGGCCAGCCTCGCCGCGCATGCGCAGGCGCTCTCCGCCCCGGGCCGGCGCCGACCGACCTGCCGCCGCCGCCACCGCTCGTCCCCCCGAGTCTGGGGACGCGGCGCCAGGAGCCCCGCGAAAACGTCTCCCTGGGACCTGACTTCCCCCTCCAAATCAAACCTGTCCCTAGCTGGTCAGCCCCCAGATACATTCCGAACCCCCTCATCCTAACCTGGACCCCGTAGGCCGCCCGCCCCTCCCAGCCCCCGCTGCGTCCCGCCGGCGCCCACCTGCGAGGTGGCAGAAGGAGCGGGCAGAGCCTGGTCAGCAGCGAGTGAGCCGGGCCGCTCCCGGGCTGGGTTATAAGGCGGCTCCCGCCCTCCCCCCAGTCCACGTCTGCAACCTCCTCCGGTGACCCCTGCCCTTTGCTTGCCACGGATCCGCTGGCAGGGACCTATATTTAGGGAAACATGAAGCCCCTGACATTCATGCCAGCGTGGGGCTACAGTGAGGGAAGGGGGAGGAAGGCCTGGGCCTGCCCTAGTTGGGGGGCAGGGGCTCACCGGTACTTTGGAGGACATTTCCTTGGAAATCCAGCCTGAAGCCCTCAGAGGTTGTCAAGAGAAATCAATCTTTGCACAGGGATCTGTGGGGAGGGAGAAGAGGAGAGGAGACTCGGATCTGTGGCCCTCCCTGCCTCCTCCTCTAACCTCCCTCCCCTCTGGGCCCTGATGATGGCTCTTGTGATTCTGGGGAGACCATGCCTTTGGCGGGAGAGCAGATGCAGGCGCGATGCTCACCTCAAGATAACCAAGAGTCCATGGACACTGTGTGGCTTGGTACTCCTATATCCTGATACTCCAGGCTCAAGTTTGTCCCATGAGGTGGTCTGTGGTGAGCAGTGTCTCCCACCCTCACCTTCAATTATAATAGTTTATGTGGCAAGGAGGAGAGATGGGCAGGGCGCTAGCCCCTCTCCCTCCTGGCCCTCAGAAGGGGCTGCAGTCCAAATGGCCAGCGGCTCTCTTGAGTCCTGCTCTGCAGGGAGCCAGGCTCTCCACAGCTGGTTCCCAGGCCGATGAGCTGCGCAGGCCATTTGTGGTTCCAGGGGCCTGGAGAAAGGTGCCTGGAGGCCCCGTCAGGGAGCGGGGCAGGGAGCAGGGCATGTAGGCCCTGGGGGCTGGCCACTCCCCAAGGGGCAGGGACTCTGGGGCCTCATCGGAGCTTGATCTCGAAGCAGAGACAGTTGAGGCTCTGGCAGTCAGGAGGTTGGCAAGCACAGGCACAGTCACAGAGCGGACAGCAGCGGGGACAGCCAGGGGCCCAAGCCTGAGGGAGAGGAGAGAGGGGTGAGGGAGGGGGGCAGGAGGAACAGTGACCAGTCCCCCAAGCTGTTTCCCTCTCCGGAGAGAAGGGAACAGAGAGGCCTGGGAAGCCCCATTTGCCCAGTGGAACAGAGGGTACCATCTACCATTTCTTGGGAACAAATCAATTCCCTGTGCTGTTGAGAAATCAGCAAGGAGGTGGCGTTCCAAACAACTGAGCTCAGGAGCTGGAAGAAATTATTCAGGGGGTTCTTTCCTTCTTCCCATTTTATAGGCAAGGAGACTGAGAGATCAAGTAGCCCTGTTCCATGAAGTCCCAATGTTCAGCTCAAAGTTGGTTCTACTATATCCTTGTGGCCTCCTTCAGTTCCAAATGAGGAGACGAGGGAGAGCACACACACGTTTTCCTTCTATGATAAAAAGAACTTGGTTCTGGGGGCGCCTGAGTGGCTCAGTTGGTTAAGCGACTGCCTTTGGCTCAGGTCATGATCCTGGAGTCCCTGGATCGAGTCCTGCATCGGGCTCCCTGCTCGGCAGGGAGTCTGCTTCTCCCTCTGACCCTCCTCCCTCTCATGCTCTCTGTCTCTCATTCTCTCTGTCTCAAATAAATAAATAAAATCTTTAAAAAAAAAAAAAAGAACTTGGTTCTGTTTTCTTCCTTGGCATGAGACCAAACTGCAGGACCTCTTTCAATATTTTTGAGCACCTACTCCCTGCAAGCACAAGACTGTATTCATGAATGATTCTGAAAAATCTCCCAGTTGTCTTTGAAAATGGTAATTGGCAGATTTTTTTTTTTAATGTTTTCAAGAGTCCCCTCTCTTTTATTTATCAGAACCTTGGGCAGGGGGCCTCTTTACAAAAGAGGAAATGGAGGCTCAGAGAGGGAGAGCCCCCTTGACTCCACTGCCCCCCAGAGCCAGAACTATAAGCTTCTTTCTGGGTCTGTGGGGACAGGGACAGTTCATCTCATGTCACCAGTGAGCTAGCATGAGGACTTATCCTCCGCAGGTATGTGAGATACAAATGAATGTCGAATGAGTAGATGAATCAAACCATTTTCCCCTCTTTGGGCAAAGAAGAAAGAAGAGGACTCCTCAGCTCCTGGGGGGAAAAGAAGGGTCTGACTCTTGGGGAACAGGACAGCATGTCCCTCATGACAAGAAGGGAGAACTGGTCTATTTCAGCCTACTCCTCTCCTGCCCGGTGACAGGGGTGATCTGCGACTGCTTCATGCATGGGCTGGAGTCAGGCCAAGTGGCTGGAGTGGGACACACCCCGGACGTGCCAGGAGATTGGCTCCTTGAGGCCTGAGGCTGAACTAGCTGACAGTCCCAGTTGCACACCTCAATCAGATGCCAGGCCAAGCCAGGAATAGGGGAATGACCTTCGAAACAGCTGAGGTTTGGGGGTGTGCTGTCAGACAACCGGTGAGATCAGATATCACTAGGTGCTCCAGTGAGGGGAGGGGATCTGCTGGCTGCAGGGACAGGGGTCTGACCTGGGCTGGTGAGGCTGTCAGCAGGACTGTCTCTCCAGGAGGAGGCTACAGGCATCATGGCGGAAGGGGGAGTGAAGCGGTGTCCTTGTATCTGACTAAGGGGTGGTTTGGGGCGTCCCTGGGGAGTCCCAGTTTGGGATGAAGTGGGCTCTGAGGTTTTGGAGGACCACACTGTCATTCTGCGCGCAGCATTGGTGGCTGAGAGAGCCTCCGCCACCCTCACCTCGGAGGAGAGGGTATTAAAAGCATTTCTGGGCTCTGTCCACTGGAAGGGTTTAGAGCTAGTCATTAATAACTGTCTAATGGATTTCTCGACTCTCACAAGCAGCCATGTGGCTTCTGGAAGGAATCTGCTACTTCAGTACATAAACAAGAATGCCACCAGCCTGTTAACCCTTGTGTCTCTCTAGGCTCTGCAGCTTCGGCTTTGATTCCTTTCCCTGTGATTTTGTGACGGCCCGCCTTCTCTGGTGTCCAGAGCTCAGGCCCAGATTTGAATCAAATCCAGGCCCAGGTTTGGCTCACTCATGTTTTGAGCCTCAGTTCGGTCATCTCTGAAACCAACTGAATGCTTGCGTCAGAGGCTCACGGTGGGGCATCAGGGGAAGGAGCTGAGCCCGATGCCTAGTACATAGGGAGCACTCCAGAAAAGGCAGCGATTCTTGCTACCGCTCTCCGCGGCCCCGGCCCTGGCTAGACCTACTGGGTGTGGGGCCCGGATGCCTGGCTTTGTGTCTGTCCCACCTGCGCTTCTGATCACACACAGGGCTGAGAACCAACTACCGCACTATGTATCACTTCATTTCTCATGCTCTAGCGTAACTGCCTACTTCTTCCTCTCTGCCCTTCGTTGCAGTGGAAGCCCTGTGTGGGTTGGGACCCTGTCCAGCTTCTTTCGCAGAGCCCCCAGGGCCTGGCACAGTGCCTCAACGATGACTGCATAGATCTTTAGTAGGTGAAAGAATGGGTGAACGAGTGAATGAGATCCTTGCCACATGGTTGGTGAAAGCCCAGAGCAGGCAGGTATCTCCCCCGGAGAGGAAGAGAAATCTGGGTTTGCGTCCCGGCCTGGGCCTCAGGTAAGTCACTCCAGCCTCTGGAAGGCTGTTTCTAACAGCTGTAAAGTAGGCAAGAGCTTTGTCATATTTGTGGTTGTTACTGTTACTACAAGGAAACTGAAGAACAGGCACTTTACTGCACTTCGTGCAAAGACAGCTCAAGGACAGAACGATCCTGCCCTGCCCTGTGGCCATTCTAGAATCCTTCCTTCCTGGCTCTGGCAGAAGCTGGGTGGATCAGGCCCTGAGGTCTCCAGGTCTGGAATTCCCTGCACCTCACCCTGACCGAGGAGGAGAGGCCCAGACTGACAGAAGGGGCAAGGAGCAGCGTGCCCCCGACAGGGGACCAGAAATCGCTTCGTAATTGAGCATTTCCTATAAAATAGGGAGTTTTTAAGACCCAGGGCCGTCTTCTTTTTCCCCTTTGCCCCCTTAGCCTCAGTCCTGGTCTCCCTTTCCCAGCTATCCCTAGGAAACCAGAAGCAGATTTTTTTGTAAGAGGAGAGCCCCTTGCCCCATAATTTCCTTCAAAACTCAAAACATCTCCTGGGAATTTGACCAACTATGGCCAGCCCAAGTTATGAATTTGCTTGTCTTTCATCCTCCCGCTTTCCTCCTGGGGAAGGTCACCACTTCAGGGGCAAGAGCTTCGGTGTCTTAAATCCGAGCCCCAAATAGGAAGGTGGTCAATTACATTTACCATCTTTCAACCCACAAAAGCGAAAATGGCCTGCCCTCCAGGAGCCAGGCTTCTCCCTGAGGATTCTATTTCGACACACAATGGAGCAATTTACTGTGCACCACTCTACTATGTAACATTGTAGAAGCGACTGAACCTCCCTCCGCCAACTCCTCCCCCTGCAAAAGGACAGAAATACTTCCCCCTTACATACACAGGCACGGAGAGGAGGTCAAGGTGTGATGTCAAGTCAAAAAGGGCAGGTAGCAGAAGTGATGAAAGAGTATTTGGGGCATGACTGCATCTTTGCCGAATACGGGTAGATAACAGAGCAGTGAGAGCAGTCTTTCAGTATATGAGGGCTCACACAAAACATAGTGGCCCTGGTTACAGAGCCGGTTTATACGCTGACTGGTGCCTTCGATGTATTTCTACATGCACACTTTGTAATCAATGCTTTTCATACTCAGAACTATATGTATCTAGGTTTCTAAAAATACCCAGCTCTCGGGGTTGTTGAGTAAATGATAATGTCAATAAAGTGGCACAAAATCTGGGGCGCTGGACTCACTCGGTGAACAGAAGGAGCTCTGTGCCGGCTTGTTTTTTCTTTTAACCACCATTTTCAGAAGCCAGTGTGCCCTCCAGGTTACACACCGGTCCCCAGCTGCCACCCTGTTTTCTTTCCTCCAAGTAGCACCAGAAAGTATGCGATGTGCTGTTTACGGTGTCTTTGACTGTCGCCAACTGACCCGGTCCCCAGAGCCAGTGCTCAGCAATCCATGTTGTTGAACACCACCAACAAAAGAAATGCCCAGAGAGGGCCTGGGTCAGGGCTCAGGGCGCCAGGGCTGGGATGGGAACTCACCGCTTCCGTGGGCTGGGGGCAGCAGGCGTCCAGGCAGTGGGCTGGGCTAGGCAGAGGGAAGTCGCAGGCTTCTGCACAGGTCCAGCAACAGTCCTGGGGCCTGGAGGCACGTTGCTTCCTGCAGGGGGAGCTGCAGTCGGTGCAGCCACCATGGGCCTAGGGGATGCAAAGGGGCAGGATGGTGGGGGGGGGAGGAGGGGACGCGGCACGGAGGGATGGACGCGGCGGCTAAATGGCAAAGGAGCCTCAGCGTAAGGGCCTGCCGATGAGGGCACTGACTGACCGCTTCCTCTTCCCCGGAGCCCCCCTTCGGCCTCCGCCAGGCCCCTCACCAGTAGGCAGTGCCTAGCCAGCAGCACTACTCCGAGCAGCAACAAATAGATGCCCACAGCGATGAACACGATGGCAGGGATGGGGAGCAGCAGGGGAGGACTGCTGACGGGAGCCGGGGTGGGATTCCACGGGCTAGAGGAGGCCTGCACAAGCACAGGAGGAAGGGGTGACAAGGAGGTGGGAGGGGCTGCGGAAAGCACAAAAATACCAGGAGGGACACCTGGACGCGGCTGGGATGAGAGGAGGAACAGCCACCAGATGGCGGGGAGAGAGTCATTAGGACTACACTATCCTGTTCCCCAAACGTGACTTTTCCCAATCACCCCCTTTTCAGGACCATCAGTACCTGCTGGTCGTTCGAGAATTTTCCAAGACTTGTTGATCTTCCTCTCAGAATGCCTCTCCACACAGACCTATTGTCTCTGATTCCTCGGCCCTATTTTACCATCCCTCAGGCCCTAAATGTCTTCCAAGCTGCAGTTTTGCCCCTTTCCACACCAGCCGTGTTGTGTAACCCTCCCTTCCTTACAATCCATCAATGTCTCCCACGGACTCAGGCCAAACTTCTTATCTCAGTGACAAAGCCCCAGTCTAGCCCTGCCTACCTCTCCCTCCCTCGTCCTCTATACTCCAGCCAGACTGAAGTCTCCCTGCCCCGAGTCTCGCCCAAGCTGTGCCCTCAGCCTGGGATGCCTTTAAAGCCTCCTTGATTACTTGGCAAGCTTCTCATCTTGCCAGAAAGAGCGGGAATGTGCTCTCCGTGTGAAGTCTATTCCGGGCACTCTCTCACAGCCCTGGTCCTGAGCTCGAAGGGTCTCTGTTGGGTAAACAGCCCCCTCTCCAGTCTGCGCTCGGGCTCCAAGGCGAGTTTAAGGCCCTGAGGGGGCCGCTCCAGAAAAGGGTAAGGGGCCTAGGACTCACGTCCATGGGTCAGGACAGCGCCAGTCAGTCCAGGAGCTGCAGAGGAGAGAAAGTCCTGGGTCTCAGAGGCTGAGATGGGCCGTTGGACTGGGATGCCCACTCCGCCCCCCCCCAATTCCCGCTTGGAGAAACTGAGGCCGAACGATGGCTCCTGGTCCGGACAGTGGGGATCGGGGGTCCGGGGATTCGGGGCGGCGTCCCCCTCGCAGGTCCCAGCCTGACCCGGCCACACCCCTGGCTGTCCCCACCCCCCGGCTCCCTCCAGTGACCGGTCCCCGGCGCCTGCACCCTCGGGGCCGCGGGCAGTTCGCCGATTCCGCGCCTCGCTCGTCCAATCGGCCGCCGCCCAGAAGCTCCCGCTGCGTCTGGCCGTTGCCATGGGGACCCGCGCGCCGCTCCTACGGCGGCCGCCGAGACCCAAATTCCGTCCCCCCGCCGCTCGCCGCTCTTCCCTGGCCCGATGCTCTGCGGCCGCCAGCCCCTCTTAGTCGCGGTCCTCTGGGTTTTCCCGCCGGTACTGAACGGAAAAGGCGATTTCCCCGCTGCCACCTGCCCGGGTCGGGTCCTCATCCCGTGCTGGGTCCTGCGGCGCCACCAAGGGAACACCGACCCGCCGGCTGCACCACCCACGTGCTGGGTGACTTTGGCCAAGTCACTGAGCCGCGCGGAATCCATTTCCTCCTCTGCAGAACGGGGAAACTCCTGCCTTACGGGGATGCTGTAAAAATCAAAGCTAACTTGTCAATTGTATAGCGTTCTACTTTTTTTTTTTTTTTCAACTTTACCCCACTCATTTTTTATTGACTGTGCTCCAGTTTAAGACTTGGGCGGGTCTCCTCAACCTTCGGTCACTGTCAAAGTCATTTCCTGCCACCCACCTCAGATCCTGTCCCTTTTCTATTTTAACCTTCCGAAGGACAAAGGTCCTCCAAAGGACAAAGTTCAAATGCTTAGCAGACTGTCCACCTTATCTAGTCTGGGCCCCTCCTCTCTTCCCTTTGTTCATTTACATCATATCTCATCTAGGCTCGGCCTCCAGCAGGGAATAAAACAGATTTCCTGTCCTCATGGGGCACACATTCCACTGGGGGAGGAGGAGCAGATAATCTGTAAACAAATAAGTAAGGCTGCTCCGTGTTCCAGCATTCTTCCAGTCTTCCACCATAGGATCTATTCAAGGTTCCTGAGCAAAGGGTTCCACAGCTCCACACATTTGCAAATACTGTTCCCTCTGCCTAGAACACCCTTCCCCTATTTCCCCCTGAAGAACTCCCTCATCCTCCAAGCCTCTGCTCAATTTTGCCTCAGGGAGGTCTCCCTGCCAACCTCCGGGGGAGGTCGCTGCTTTGGGCACCTTATATGCATGCCCTATTCCAGCACTGAGGACTATGTATTTGACTTCTCCCCTTCGGTGCCTGGCTCCCTGGTTAGACAACAAGTGCCTGGGTCTGATTCATCCCCATATCACAAGCCCTGGCAGTTGGTGTGGTCTTGGGGGCCTCCAGCGAGTACTCACTGATTCTAAGAATGAATCAAATCCAATGCCATCCACCAATGAAGGGTAGTTATCGAGATGCCCTGGTCCCATGGCTCACAAGCCACTCAGACCTCCCACTTGCATTCCTGCCCTTTGGGATATACACAGACATGACTGCACTCTGTACACTCATGTAAGCACACCAAGGCCTCAGACTTCATCCAATAACTGCATCTGGCCCTGTTCCCCTGAAAGCAGTGATGTTGGAAAGAACATTAGGGTTTGAAGCTGACGGCCAAGAAAGAATTCTTGAGACATCTTTGGTGCAAAAATGTGGTTTTTATTAAAGCACGGGGGACAGGACCCTCCCACAGAAAGAGCGGCAATGGGGTCATGAGGAGTGGCCCATTATATACTTTCAAGTTGGGAGAGGGTTAGGGAATAGCGTAAGTCTCTAAGGAATTTTGGAAGCAAGGTTACCAGGACCTTGAGGGGGCTAGCTATTGTTGGGGAAAGGTCACTTATTACCGTCTAATAAAACCTTACTCATGAGACCCTTCAGATGTGTATCAGTGGGCCATATGCTTGGGGGATGATTGCCAACATGTATCTTGGGGGGTTTAGAGATAAAGGAAGTTTCCAAAAGAATTTTTATATGTTAAAGTAGGCTTACAGGATCCTGGGAGGTGGGGGATGGGCTAGGATTGTCTTTTGCCCTTAGCAAAGTGTCAACATCGAGGTAGTTGAGTCCCTAGAGGAATGTCACTCTGCCTGTTTCAAGGACTTGTCGATGAGCTGTAGGAAATTTAATAGTTTGTTTCTGCCTTTCTTTCCCACATCAGCAGTACCACCATATACCTACTTCTGTCCATGTCCCCCCCACCATGTACCTCGTCCCTGCTGCTGCCCCTGGGGATTTCCAGCACCCCGAGGCAACCCCAGAAATCACCAGGGTTTGTGTCCCTGGTTGCCAAATCTCCCTTCTCACCTTCAACCACACTGACAGAGTCCCATCCCTCCTCTGCCACCCCCAGCGCTCTCAGAGGGAGCTTCAAACCCAGGAGACAGGAAGCTAGCTGTCCCCAGTGTCACCATTGCTGACTCTAAGGTAGAGTCAGGTTGCCTTCTTGGGGCTGTTGTTTTGTCTGCCCCATCTTCTTTGCAGAATCCCGAAGCCCAAGATGAGGCCAGTTCCCACCCCAGCCCCAGGAAAGGCTTCAAGTGACACAGACTCCCTTCCTCTGTTCTGTTCCTGCCAACAGAGAGATGTCAGCCTTGGCAAGACCTCTGGACACATCCATGGCCTGCAGTGGTCAGACTCACTGCTGATGGTATTCTGTTCCTACCATGGGCTCATACGTTATGCAGGATGGTGGGCAGTGCACCGGGCCTGCTCTCTGCAAGACAAACCAATAGGACGGGTGATGTATGCACCCACTTTGCCAAGGCCACTTCTGCCCACATCACACCATTTGTTGGAGGCAGGAAGAAACTGACTTCACGAGAGCCAAATAACCATAAGGTCTCCCTCTCCCTCAAGTTCAAAGCTGGAGATGTCAGATATGATCGTGTGGAGTTTTGCACTGACCCCAGGAAGGAAAGAAAAAGATGATGTACTCTCAGTCCTCGTGCGGTGGGTGGGAGATCTGAGACCCACTGAACACCCAGGAGATGAGAGAAACCCAGCCAGGCCTGCCCTCAGGCGAGGGAATGGAACCCGGCTGCTCTGATTTTGATCTTAGACTTTCGGCCCCTCCTATGGACATCAGATGATATTGCCTCCCAGAGGTTATCAGCGTCCTTTTAGGAAAATGAAAGGCCTGTGCTCAGGTAGTCACGCCCAGGGAATAAGAAGTGGAGATGACCAGGGCGCCTGGGTGGCTCAGTTGGTTAAGCGACTGCCTTCGGCTCAGGTCATGATCCTGGAGTCCCTGGATCGAGTCCCGCATCGGGCTCCCTGCTCGGCAGGGAGTCTGCTTCTCCCTCTGACCCTCCTCCCTCTCATGCTCTCTGTCTCTCATTCTCTCTGTCTCAAATAAATAAATAAAAAATCTTAAAAAAAAAAAAAAAGAAGTCGAGATGACCAGAGCTAGAGCAAACGTCAATCAAACCCTCTTCCCAGACTCTATTTTATTTAATCCTAACAGTAGACCTGAGTGGCATGAACAATTATTTCCAACTTATTTTAATTTTAATTTTTTCTATTTTATTTATTTATTTGAGAGAAAGCGAGGGCGGAGGGGCAGAGGGAATGGGAGAAGCAGACTCCCTGCTGAGCAGGGAGTCTAACACAGGGCTGGATCCCAGCACCCTGGGGTCATGAACAGAGCCAAAGGCAGACGCTTAACTGACGGAGCCACCAGGCCCCGCCATTATTTCCACTTTATAGATAGAAAAGAATCCTGACCTGGTTGAAAAGAATTTTAGGTCAGGCAATGGATTCTAGTTGTGCCACTGCGTATCTGTGTGACCCTGGGCAAGTCAGCTGACCTCATGGAGCCTGAGTCGCTCATCTGGAAAGTAGGGATCACCTAAGATGCAAGAGGGCTCGTGATGATCGGAGGAAAGGTTATGTACAGTCCCCAGCATAGAACAAGGGCTCATGAAAAAATAGAACCCGAACAACTCGGAATGCATATCACAGTGAAAATTTACAAGGGGCCACATCGGAACACATGTCATTCACTCATCCTAGCAGCCCGAGGGAGAGGTACTGCTCCAGTCCCTATCCTCATTTTACGAAGTGATAAAGCACTTGCCCAAGTTCTCCTGGCTAGTGAGTGACAGAGCTAGGATTTGAGCTCAGGCAATGGAACTTTGTGGGTATACAACTGAGGCTCAGAGAGGTTCTGACACTTGACCAAGGTCACACAGCCAATCTATGGCAGAAAAAAAGGGCCTGGACAAACTCTTCCTTTTCTCACTCCACTCATCTATCCTCCCCCTCAGCTTTTTCTACTGCACAGATAAAGGGTGGGACTGGGCTTGCTTAAACAGTGCCTAGCCTGGGACAGGTACAATAAAAGCACTAAATAATAGATGCTCTGGCCTGCTGGGCGGGACTCTCCCCAGAGCACGGGTGGGGGGAATTGGACCCTTCCCTGGGTATCATGTGGGAAACAGGCCACTTCTGGCTGCTTATTGTTTACTTATTCACAGCCTCCGGTGCTTAAGACACCTGCACACCTCCCAGGGCCGAGGCGGCGCAGAACCCAGGCAGAGAGGATGCGCAGGACAGCATTTGGACTCAGGAGCCTGGAGTAGCAGGAAACCGTAAACTCCAGGCCCCGGGTGAATTGTGTGACAGGTGTGTGAGGACGCGTGGGGGTGAGAGACTGCCCTGGGGAGCCAGGCTGGGGCAGGGAAGCGGCCCGAGTCCCTGGAGCCTGGACGGGCACCTGGGGAGCGTCACCCACGCCTAACCCCTCTCTGGGGGCGTGGTCCCAAGGGCTGCACCACCCCCCGCCCCCCCCCCCCCCGAACTGGTGCAGTCTCCCCTCCTCCTCCGAGGAGTTCAGGGGCACCCCTAGAACGCTCTGATGAGGGATCACAGTGTGTGGAACGCGTCTGGTCTTGGGTTTATTTAACATGCTACACCCATCTGCAAGGAAGTGGGCGCCCGCGCACAAAAGCTATTCTCTTTCCAATTCCTCTTCAACACTTCTGATTATTACAGGAGCATGTCTCATTTTGCTGCCAGAAGCCCTTTAACACCTCTCTACCCGTGCTTATCTTGCCACGTCTTGTCTTTAACAAAGGGAGTGCAGGCCTCCAGCTCAGAATGCGGAGCAGGTGAAAGTATCTAGCTTGAAGGTTAGAACACTTTTTTTCATTGTATTTATTTCTTGGTTACCTTCTGTTTACAGCAATTGACACTGGCTTTCTATTTTCAGTAGTGATGAAGAGTTTCCTTTTAAAGTGCTTGGTTAAGGGGCGCCTGGGTGGCTCAGTCGTTAAGTGTCTGCCTTCGGCTCAGGTCATGATTCCAGGGTCCTGGGATCAAGCCCCGCATCGGTCTCCCTGCTTGGCTGGAAGCCTGCTTCTCCCTCTCCCCCTGCTGCTCCCTCTGCTTGTGTTCCCTCTCTCGCTATGTCTCTGTCAAATAAATAAATAGGATCTTTAAAAATAAAAAAATAAATTGCATGGTTAAGAGTGGGTACTCTGCCAATCAGACTACTAGGTTCAAATCCTAGCTATGCCCACTTAACTGCCTGTGTGACCTTGAGAAAATCACACAACTTCTC